TTAGAATTCGAACACCAGATGCGGCTCTCTCTGGCAATGCCTGATGGCAAAGCCAAGTCAGCACAGGAGGCCAAAGTGGCCACGGCAACACCCAGACTTTCCAGACAGGCCAACGCTCTCAAGCCCTGCAAGGCCCCGGCCGCAATCAGAAGCATAGCCTTTGCAGGTCAGACCGCTTGTTCTTTGTTTGGACTGTTTGGGATGCAGGAGTGGAGAAGTCTAGCAAGGGTAGCGAAGCGCCTGCTTCGAGTTCAGCTGCAAAGCCTCTGCTGCGGGTCGGAGCTTGTCATCTGCCAATCTGCCATGGGCAGAGCGGCCCGTGAAAAATCCCAGGAATACTCAACAAACATCAATCAAATCTAAGACAGGGAATCTAGATCTCAAACTAAACTACCTCCAGTGGTCCAGGGCCCACGCAAACCCAACAAAACACGCAATAACCCAGCAAACCAAAAGACGTGCAGGGCCTGGCCGAGGGAGCGCGGCTCAGCGTAGGTTCGGACTGCGCTGACCCTGGGCCTGTTGATGCACGTCGCTTCCACGATTGCTGCCACGAGGGTTCAGGGTCATGATGTAAGGGTGATTTTGAAGCATTGGGTGGGTGATCTAGGTGCTCTCAGGCCGGAGGACTGGGAAAGGCTCCAGTTTCAAGCCGTGCCCGGAAGTTGTGCGACATCACGCGCTTGAACTTTCGGGGGCAGACTAAGGGGTGGCACACGGACCATCACTGGATGCAAAAGGGCTTGGGGAGTATGCCCTGCTTCTCCTGATTCCGCCTGGACTAAACGGACAATCAGCAACCAAAGAGGCTTTCAAGAGAGCTTTCCAGCAGTACTGTGAAGCTGCCAAGGCAATCAAGTTGCCTTCTGAAGAGCAGCCCTTCTTGGTCGGAGGCACGACAAACAGTGGGACCTGCCCGACGCGGAAGCCCGAGAAGCAGAAGCATTGAGACATGGCTCTTTAAGTAAGAGTCATGTCTAAACGGAAGGCTGTACTACCTTCGCCTAAACGTTCGCAAGGTATTACGTTGTATCTTGGAGGGCTTCATTTATCCGCCGAGGCCTCGGGCCGTAGGTGTTGAGGTCGCCATTCCAGCTTGCTCAAAACGTGTCCAGAACTTCAAACCCCAAAGCTTGGAACACGTGCGCCCCAGAACTCGCAAAGGCGCGGCTACGGAATCCGAATGCTGCCCCCCCTCCTGGATCTGCGTTGGGCCAGGCCGAGGCGGGTCGTGTAGCATTATTAAGGTGATACTATCTAATTAATTTATCGTTAGAAGTTGTAAATATATATATTTTTTATTTGAATAGTCTATATATAATTTTCTAATAAACTTGTAACACAAATAAAGCACATGATCTCATTACTTCTCATGAAATAAATACGAAGAAATTACCCTTTCTAGCACTCTACCGCCTACAGATTCCAATTTTTCATAACTCTTATCAAACAACTCTTGTACATGATCATATTTATCTTTAGCTTCTGATAACAGTTTTATCATACTTGTTTACAATCTGACTGATGTGTAAAAGCTCTACTAGATATATAAATATTATGTACTTTATCAACATGAACACAATTAGAATTTATTTTTTGTCATAGAGTATTATGTTGATTGTATGGAATGTATGTAATTTCTTCTATACCTTCGCCAGTTGTGAATCTACAATCATCCATTACTACATGACACATATTTAAATGTGTGCTTTTGATCTAAAAACATTTCATCTGTTATACTAGATGATAATGTTAATTCGGGTTGATGAATGTCCAAAACATGTAATAGTAGATCTGTACATTTTGACTGGACTATAAGAATAGTAAAAAACACGACCTACGCATTGTTAGAATATCTTCTAAAGTTCCAAATAACTCTATCTGCTATTAGAAAACAATCAATAAGAATATACTGATTCACTTCCAAAAATTAGACAACAAATGTTTAAAAAATGATTTACATAAGCATAAAATTGAAGTAGATGATATAAGAAATGCAACAATGAAAAAATCGGAAAAAGATAGGAAACTGTTAATAAGTTAAGTAACGCAAAAGGAGTGGGGACACAACTCTTGGTAAATAGAAGGCATACTGAAAACAGGTACATCATTCTCGTTAAAATAATGATGACAAATTTAGGTTTGAATACAATGAAGAATGAAAATCTATTGTAGGTATTGGCAATAAAATAGCACTAAAATTAATAAAGGTGTAAGAGCTACTCAAGATTTAAACATGAATATAGAATCATGATAAAATATGATTGGGAAAAACACATCATCCAAAAAATGATAATATTCTTAGAAAGGAAATACGTAATCGGCCGACCCCCGGGAGGGAAGGCGTCATTGAAAAACCGTCTAGCCCAGCAACCACCCCCCAAAAAAAATCAAGGTGTTCACTGCGAAGTGAGCGAAGGAATGTACCTTGCGCAAAAGGGGAAGCGACACACACCTCACGTGGCAGATACTGACACTACGCGAGCTCCAATGTATTGACTGGACTTTCGCTAGCATGTGTAGAATCAATGCACTCCCACCTGTAACCAAGCGAACCAAAAACATTAAACAACTTGTGTATCACGCGTGGAGCGGCCTTCACATCCAAACCTGCATCCTGAAGACTACGACACGAGGACACGACACAAGGGCATGACACGAAAGCGAAGACACAACACCAGGACGCGAGACCAGGACACGAAGACACGACACGAGAACACGAACACGACACAAAGACATGGCGCAAAGACGCTGCACGACGACACGGCGCGAAGACACGGCATGACACGACACGAGGACGCGACACAAGAAAAAAGAGACGACGCGAAGACACAATGCATAGCCCCCCGACAGAGAGAGGGCTGCCCCGAGGGGCGCGCGACGTCCAAGGGTCCGTTTGATTTCTCTCTTTCTCTTTCTCTCTTTCTCTTTCT